AATGGGAAGCTAAAATTGCTTCTTAATGCGAAGTAGAGCTTATGGATAACTTTTGAGATTTAGGCTTAGGATTCTAGCATTCTAAGTTTCTCAAATTCAGACAAGCCACACGTGTTCCAGAATCTCTGATAAGGAATGGAAGAATTTCCAGATGATTGTAACCCCTCATGAAAGAAACGTTTTTTTGTTTTAATTTCAGACTAATGTATGCTTGATTTGCTTTTCTTCACCTATCCAAACAGATTTTTTTCATTTTGGTTTTAATTGTGTTTCCTTGTCCTGAAAAATGATGGCCTGTAATATGAAGCCCTTCTCAGTGTGGTAACTTTCCACTGGCTAGCTGATTAAAGTCCTCAAAGGTTTAGAAAGGGGAAGGAATGAAGGAACGAGTGAGTAAATGGCTAACTCACTAGTTTCACTTAAATCACTTCTGTTGCATGCTATGTCGCTTATGATGAGCCTTGTAAAATCTAAGGTTTTGTCTCCTTTCGGCTGTTTTTTTTTTTTCCTTCATAGTTTCCAGGCACTGTCACAAACTTTGATTCTTTGATAGCTAAACTCTTAATTCCTTTTTTTAAATGTTCGTTTTCATTAAAGTGCTATTTAACATTAGATATTAACTTTGATAGACGTTAATGCTGCTTCTCAATTAGGTAAAATATATTCTTGGTAAGGTGCCAATTTGAATTGAATATATTTGAATTTGGTATGTGAATTAAACTGTTGTTTAAACCTTACCCATCCATCACATGTGTGATGGAGCAGCCAGCTGGTTTTGTATATAACTGGGGTTTTTTTCCCCCTAGCAATATTTAAACATGAGAAAATGGCTTCCTATTGTAGCAAAGAGAACTTCATATGAATTTAATACAAGATCTCCTTGTTTGTCAGGTTCTTAGACTGCCTAGAATTTAAATTGGCAGACACTACTTTGGTATAAAATGTTTTCCATGGACGATATTAATATTTTAAAATCCTTTTTGCTCCTGCAGATTTCCAGTAGACAGGAAGTCTAGCTCTATTTACCCTTTGGCTACTAATGAATGCTATTAAATTATTATTTATCTTCTTTAGGCAGAGGCAGTACAGGTATGAGATCAGAATTGCCAAGTAAGGCAAGCATTTAACTTTAAAATTACAGAAAATGCTAATCCATTGACAGGTGGCAACTGAAGTATGGATACTAGAAAGTATTTTGGACCCGAGTCAGAGATTTGGGGTTGTATTCCACCTGTGTCACTAACTTGCTGGGTCGCCTTGACACCTGTGGGTAACTTGCTGGGTCGCCTTGAGCAAGCCACTGCCCAACTCTGGATGGCATATCCCCTCTATAGTCTCAGCTTGCACACTACACCAGCCTAGCAGCTCTGACCGAGGTCAGTCTCCAGCTGCATTTTTCATCTTTTTTATAATCCCTTAAACCCTTGCTAGGCTTTCATTGCTAGTTCTTTTCCCTAGGATTTTGCATTTAGAAATACTGAGGGCTTCCTACCTTTTGGAATTTTTCTATGCTCATGAAATTAATGAAAAGTTACTTAGAGTTACAAAAAAAAGCGCCAGAATTAAAAGTCTTGTTTGAATGACTGTTTTGGTAAAATCAGACTGTTTCTATCATGACTAATGTACCTTCACTATTTCAGTTTTGAAGTTAATACATTTGAGTCCTGGTATGGCGAGGCATGATTATCAGTTTGTCTCATTACCCATGCTAGTATTCTCTCACTTACTCATTGTTCTAATTAATCTTTCCTTTTTTTTTTTTGCCCAGAATGATTGAGCAGCAAGGCTCCATATCATGGGAGTTACATTTTAGGTTCTTGAAAATTTCATTGACTTGAAATAGTTTGAATTGCACTAAGCTAAAATTTACCTTTTGTTGGTTTTCTAGGAAATAAAGTAAACAAAATGACTTGCGTCACAGTGTTGAGAAATTAACTGTTAATTTCAGGAGGTGTCTTGTTTTAATGTAAAAGCTAGAGATAGATTTTTTTAAAACCTCTTCACTAAAGGAGATCCAGCACTATTACCTAAAAAGGCAGGCAATAACCAGTGTTGGTAGGAATATGGGGAAATGGAACCTCATACGTTGCTGTTGGCAATGTAGAATGGTACAGCTACTGTGGGAAACAGTTTGCTGGTTCCTTAAAAGTTAAACATAGAGGGGCGCCCGGATGGCTTATTCGTTAAGCACCTGACTTCGGCTCAGGTCATTTTCTCGCCGTTCATGAATTCGAGCCCCATGTCAGGCTCTGTGCTGACAGCTCAGAGCCTGGAGCCTGCTTTAGATTCTGTGTCTCCATGTCTCTCTCTCTCTCTCTCTCTCTCTCTCTCTCTGCCCCTCCCCTGCTTGTGCACATGCACCCTCTCTCTCAAAAATAAATAATCATTAAAAAGAATTAAACATAGAATTACCATATGACCCAGCAATTCCACTCTTACGTCTCTCCCCAAGAGAAATGCAAACATATGTCCACACGGAAACTCATACATGCGTGTTTACAGCAGCATTATTCATAGTAGCCAAAAAGTGGAAACAGCCCAAATGCTTCTCACCAGAGAAATGGATCACAAAATGTGATATGGCCACACAATTGAATATTATTAGGCAATTAAAGATGAAGTACTGATACAAGCTCTACAGCTTGGATGAAATGTCCAAAATATTATGCTAAAAAAACAGCCACAAAAAGCCCCACATTGTACGATTCCACTTACATGACAACTCCAGCCAGAATGGGCAAATCCATAGACAGAAAGTAGATTAATGCTTGCCAGGAGCTGGGGGCAGGGAAGAATGGAGACTGACTGCTAACAGGTATGAGGCTTCTTTTCGTGTGACAAAATGTTTTAAAATTGGATAGTGGCGATGGTTGTATAACTCTGTGAATAAAGTAAAACCCATTAAATTGTATACATTAATGGGTGAATTTTACAGTATGTGAATTATATCTCCATAAATAGTTATATATATAAAAACATTAATGACCCTATTATTATAATTATTTGAAATTATGAAAGTATATTTAAATTACACTTTTGCTAAGGGCTAGAAGGAAGGAGGAGTGGGGAGTTCATATTGAATGAATACTGTGTTTAAGTTGGCAAGATGATAAAAGTTCTAGAGATAGATGGTAGTGATGGTCGTACAACACTGTGAACGTACTTAATCACACAGAACTACATGCTTAAAAAGTTAAAACAGCCTTTTTGTTGTAATGTGTGAGATTCTTCTATGTTTTAGAACTTCTGTTCAGTATGTGTGTTTGTTAGGGGCAAGGGTGTTGGTTATACACACATATACATGTCTTTATCTTGGCTTTGGATGAGAACCTGAAAAAAATATTTTTAATTTTATCTGCCAACAGGAAAATAAAAGAGGCCAAACTCTGGAAAAGTTATGTTGTTAAATTATAAAATAGTGAAATGCTGTTCTCAGAGTATAAATTATCACAGATTTCCTGAATTTCTTGGCTAATCTTGGCTCCTTGAATGGGAAAAAACCTTTATACTTTATATAGTACATATCTTTCTATAAGCATTTTCCTTTGAATACTAGGATAGAACCATCACCAAAATGCAATGAGGGGCTCCAGAGGGGGCTCAGTTCATTGAACTGCTGACTCTTGGTTTCGGCTCAGGTCATGATCTCACGGTTCATGGGTTCGAGCCCTGCACTGGACTCCATGCTGACAGTGTGGAGCCTGCTTGGGATTCTCTCTCTCCCTCTCTCTCTACACCTCCCCTGCTCCTCTCTCTCTCTCTCTCTCTCTCTCTCTCTCTCTCTCTCTCAAAATAAATAGACATTAAAACAATACAAACATAGGGGTTATATTTTAACAATACAATAAACAAGTTTCAGAATGCAAAGGAAGGGATGGAAAAATGAAAAAAAAAAAATCCAGCAATGAGGAAGTCCCTGAAAAAGGTATTAAGTGATTTCTAAGGGCCATGGAACTTTTTTATAACCCCCATGCAGTTTGTAGGCTCTAAGTTTGAACTTCCAGGGATTAATCTGTGAGAACATTTTCTGAGTCTGGCTGCTATATAGGACATTTGGATTTGAAGACTGGAAGATCGATGGCACAAATGCCAGCAGTGCCACTAACATAAAGTATAATCAGAGGTGTGTTTGTTTTTCTTGACCAGGAGGTAGTTTCTTTTAAAAGTATAAGAAACATACAGCGTCTCCGTGTGTGTGCGCATGTCTGTGTATTTTCTGTCTTTTCTTCTGTTGCAGGGAGAATTATGGTCTTCCAACATCTTTGTCCTTTACAGTAGGGGTTTTTCTAGAATTTGGCACTGTAGTATATTACCCTTGATTACAGGATCCAATCAGAGTTGATGTACTCAGAAATCCATTGATGTGATTAATGGTCTCCTAATCATACTTTTATTTCCTAGATTAGCCCAATTTCCTGCAGTTTCACAATTTTTGAGTCATATCTTGAATTACCCTTTATAGGGGGCCTGAAAGCCCTGTATTTTTAGTCAGTAATTTGCTTGATTATTTTAATTTTCTTTGATTTCTTTTGCTTGAAGAAAATGAAATTTTGATCGTTTTTGAACTCTGAGTGCTGTTCTATGGTAACTGGCCAACCTAGTGTGAACTTTTTTTAAACTATATATATTTTTTTCCACCAGCCCTAGATCTAGAAGTCTTCCCCAAAATTTCTACTGGTCTGGTTTTTATTCTTCTCAAAAGTAAACTAAAATATTCTCAGATTCTACAAGTAACAGGAAGTGCACCAGGAAATGACTGTACAGTAAATGTAATTGACCATTCACTCTTTGCAATTGGTCATAGGATTGGCTGATAAACAGTCTATTGAATGAAAAAAAAATGACTTATAAAATCTTTGAATACATTTGAAGATCATTGGCATCTTTGGCACCTTACTGATTTTTTTGTGTGTCTCTTAACCTTTTTCAAATGATTGCATTTGAAAGTAGGAGTCTTTCATATCTAGTGGTTGCTTTAATATTTGCTTTGTTTTCAACAGTGCCCTTAAAGATAGCCGTTTTCCCCCAATGACAAGGGATGAGTTACCACGGCTGTTCTGCTCAGTGTCTCTGCTCACTAACTTTGAAGATGTCTGTGATTATTTGGACTGGGAGGTAAGACTATAGAAATTTCTTAAAGAAAAATGAAGGTAATTCCTGAGTAAATGTTAAAAATTAGGCCCAGAAAACAACTCTTTCAGCCCATTCTCTAGTGGGGTGGAGGTGGAGAGTCACATGGATAAATAAACCTCACATCTGATCAATGAGATATCAGTGAAGGAGTTGCTATTTTTTGTTTTTTTTAAGGCATGTGTTGTTTTAATCCCCAAACTGAAGTTGCTGTTTGTTTCTATCCTGTTACTGTACCACAGCGCCTCACAAAAGCTGTTAATAAGTAGTAAGAAGGACTGATTAGAATTTATTTCTCCTCTTATTTCCATTCTGATGTATTTTGGTCATAACGGCCTCCAGGCAGCTAGGTGGTCAGAGGATATATCTCAGAAGCAAGGAGCAAGACAGGATAATACAGCAGTTGGGGAAATCAGCATGTGGATACACACAGGGTGTTGGATAAGTACACTTAAATCATGTCAATTCATTCTGGGCTACCTTAATTTATGCACTTAAACACGCTGACAAATAATATTAAGGTCACATCTCGGGTATCTCTTGAGCATTGTCGTTATCGAAATAGCCTACATCGATCATATTTTTTATTGTGTAGTATGTGGGGTTGGCTTTTTAAGGAAGTTTGGAGGTTCTCACTACGATTTGTTTTGGTGGTTGGGAGGAGATAGTTGACCATATTTCCATGAAACTTCACACACAAATGTGCACACATTACTGAATGCATACTACATTCAAGGCACTGTGCTACATACACAAAAGTCCTCAGATTTGGTCCCCACCATAAAGTGTCTTATAGTCTACAAGCAGAGAAAAAGAAGTATGCACAAAGCGTAAAGAAATAAGTACTCCAAGAGTGAAACAATGGGAGTGCAGTGATACACGTAGCATCCTCTCACATAAACACTCATGAGTGACGGGACTGTATCTTTTTTTTTTTTTTTAATTTTTTTTTTAACGTTTATTTATTTTTGAGACGGAGAGAGACAGAGCGTGAACAGGGGAGGGGCAGAGAGAGAGGGAGACACAGAATCTGAAACGGTCTCCAGGCTCTGAGCTGTCAGCACAGAGCCCGACGCGGGGCTCGAACTCCTAGACCGTGAGATCATGACCTGAGCCGAAGTCGGACGCTTAACCGATGGAGCCACCCAGGCGCCCCGACGGGACTGTATCTTTACGGTAGAACACGTTTTAATTTTTCTGCCTTTTTAGAATGGCTACCTGCCATGGTAACTGAGATACTTTTCCTTGTGGACAGATCACTGTCTTGATAATTGATGGGACCTGAATTTTATTTTTGGCTTTGCCCTGATTCCTTGTGAGACTTGGGACAACTTATTCCACTGCCATTCAGTTTTCCACCTATAGAATGTGACATTTATAAAGTTCCTAATCTTCATTGGAAAAAATCTCTATGATATAAATTATTGTTGTTATACCTGAGCTGTTAAAAAGACATTCTGCAGAGAGTAGACAAAAGAGTTCCTTTTGAGTTTTGTAGTACATGGGGTTTTTTTGGAGTATTATCAGAATATGAAAGCATTTGGGGATTTTTTTTTTTTTTTTTGTAAAGGAAAAAATAAAATCAGTTGCTACTGTTGATCGGAGCCAAGTTGGATGGTGTAAAACCTTTCATAGCATTAAAATGTCCTAATTGATTGTTTTCTAGAAGTTCATCGTTCCTATTTGAATTTTTCTTAAAGAGAAGTCTACCAGTATCACGGGAGCATTCCCCAGTGTTTTAGTTTTAAATGATCCCAAATTATATCCCTCACTTATTAACAAATATTAAAATTTGGGTGGTTCTTTGAATGTTTGAAGGCTACTCCTTCCTCTTCTCTAGCTAGAATTTTATTTCTGCTTTCTGAATTGCAGAGTGCCGTCTGTGTAGGGGTAGGGGTAGAAGCGATAACGGGGGACAAGCCTGAAATCTAAGGGATGACTGAGCTACAAAACCACTCCTACTCTTATTTGCTATCACTGAGTTTGGTTGTGGTGTGTGGGGGTTTGCACATGCGCAATTGTGCATGTTTATGGCATGAATGTATATTGTATAAATATGCATGCATGTCTTTTGGAGGGAAGGAAAAATGGGAGAATCCAATAGTAGTTAAATCACTACGGGCAGGTGCACAGTGCACCACCCTCTTCTTTAGCCCATGTCAAGTATGGTCTACAGCTAAAGTTAACCTTCATACGTTGTATATTGTATATTTGTTTTATTTTAAATTGTTTTAACGTTTATTCATTTTTGAGAGACAATGTGTGAGTGGGAGAGGGGCAGAGAGAGAGAGAGGGAGACACAGACTGGGAAGCAGGCTCCAGGCTATGAGCTGTCAGCACAGAGCCCGACATGGGGCTCGAAGTCACAGACCACGAGATAATGACCTGAGCCGAAGTTGGACGCTTAACCGACTGAGCCACCCAGGCGCCCCTGTATATTGTATACTTAATGCATTCCTTAAGGCTTAAATATTGACATCTATTTACTGATAACCTTCTGGTTAAACTAATAACAACAAAAATACATGTATATTTGTACTTGTAACATGCAGGTATTTGAAAGTGAATTAGGGACTGTCAGAATGGCTATGCCTAGAGGAATAGACTGTCTTTTTTAGTTAGTTCATCATAGCTTGAAGTATTTAGCATAAGAGAAATTTGTTCCCAAAGAGTAAAGGTGAAAATTATATTTTTTCAAGTACAAGAATGTGATTTGGGCTTAAAAAAATATACCATAGTCAGTGATTAAAAATGGTATGGTATTATTATGGGGATGCTGTCATAAGGGTTATCCTTAATAATTCTGGAAAGACACTGGTTACTTGAAATACAGAATACCAAAGTAGAATTAAAAGCATTTTTTAAAAAGTATGTGTCAAGCCATTTGCACTCCTAGGTATATACCCTCCCCCCAAAAATGAAAACAGACGTTGAAACAAAAACTTGTACACAGATGTTTATAGCAGCACTATTCATAATAGCCAAAAGGTACTGACACAAGACAAATGTATATCAACATATGAATGGATAAACGAAATGCAGTATATCCATCCAATGGAATATTATTCGGCCAGAAAAAGAAATAAAGTAGTGACACATGGAGGAACCTTAGATACGTTATGTTAAGGGAAAGAAGCTAAGCACAAAGAGCCGCATGCTGTGTGGTTCCTTTTGTATGAAATACCCTGAATGGTCACCTCCATAGAGAGAGCACATTAGTGGTGGCCACGGGTTGGGGGAGGGGCTGACTGCGTTTAATGGGTACAGGGTTTCCATTCAGGGCGATGAAAAAGTTATGGAACTGGATGCTGTACAACATTGTTAATGTACTTGGTGCCACTGAATTGTACACTTAAGAAGGGTGAAAATGGTAAATTTCATATTATGTGTATTTTACCAGAATAAAAAGGCATATAAGCCTATGCACATACACATTTAAACCTGTTGTCCATAATAGTACAGTGATTCTAATTTATTGAACAAGAAAACTTTGGAAATTCCAAAATTATAAAGAAAGGCAAGCCATTTGTAATTACGCCGTTCTGAGATAACTACTGTTAACATTTTGGAATATTTCTTTAAATTATTTTTCTGTGTCTTTGTATCAATAAATGTGCATATTCATGTAATCGAGGCCATATCGAATATACAGTCATTATTAAAAAGGATTGTGGGAAAGCCTTTGTTTATGGTTTATCTTTATATATAAGTTAATTACTTGTATTGCAAATTTCCTTTACAAGGGGGTCAGTCTATATTATGAAAGCATACGTTTCACTTGGAGAAATTTCCCACTGTCAAATAGGTATCCCTTTTCTTCCAAGAATGAAATCTCGTATTCACCATAAGTATCTAAATTTAACCTGAACTGCAAAGAGCTGCAAATGTTTATGCCACAGGGGGAAACAGGAGATGATTACCGAATTTTAATAGAGAACTTTTAAGTCAAAGATCAGTAACGAGTATGTTTTATATAAGCAGAAGCCTCTAACATAGGGCTTTTCTGGTAGAAGGGCAGTTGGAGAGTTGACCCCCACCGGTGAAGCGTGTTACTGCAATCGAATTCCTAATTAAAGGGGCGCAAATGCCCAGATCAAAGCCGGAAGAGGGCTAAGTCTAGAGGTCCCAAAGCATAGAGGTGAGTAACTTCAGTAACGAGAGACACCCCTGTGGTCATGAAGACGAGGGACGTGACCGGTGGTAATAGCCACCTAATTTTCAAATGATGAGGAAACAAGTGAGCTACCACAGAGCCAGCTACTGCCCTCCTCTTTTTCTTCATCCGTGGTTTTTAACTGAGCCTGTTTGGGACCTCTGTTTTGGTTACATGTCTCTAGTTTTATAATGGAAGTTAATAAGAAGGTGGGATTTACATCAATCGGACGTGGTTTTAGAGGCTAGAATGCTTCTCTTTGATACTGTGAGGGACATTTGATAAATGGTTTCACAAGTAGATGTAATTAACTTCGAGTCAGTGTTGAATTGACAGAATGATCGGTGATGCTTCCATGTTATATATCCTCAAATAATAATCATAACATGTAAAATGAGTGTCTGTAGGTGGCCTGTCAAGGAATCTGTGTAGGGGCGCCTGGGTGGCGCAGTCGGTTAAGCGTCCGACTTCAGCCAGGTCACGATCTCGCGGTCCGGGAGTTCGAGCCCCGCGTCGGGCTCTGGGCCGATGGCTCGGAGCCCGGAGCCTGTTTCCGATTCTGTGTCTCCCTCTCTCTCTGCCCCTCCCCGTTCATGCTCTGTCTCTCTCTGTCCCAAAAATAAATAAAAAAAAAAAAGTTGAAAAAAAAAATTAAAAAAAAAAAAAAAGGAATCTGTGTAGTGATTTAAAAACCAACAAAACCATCCTCAAAGACCATAAAGACAAATTGGAACTCTGGCCCCACCCTTCTGAGAAATGCTCGTTCTTGTCCCCATTGTGGTGTACTTATTGCCCTGGTAGGTATGTATGAGAAGGATGAAGAGTAAATGAT